CCCCCCCCCTCGGGGAGGCAGGGCTGGGGCTCACAGAGGTCAGAGGGCACGCCGTACGGGATTCTAGAGGCACAGAACCGAACGGGCTGGATGGCGCTTCGGCCTTTTCAAGCGCCCCTCTTATATGTCAGATCCCAGCCTCTCGCAAAACCCCGCTGTGGCGCTCGCTCCCTCCCTCCGATCCGCGCGTGAGCCTGCTCCCCTCCGGCGCGGGGGTGCCGGCGGCCCCTCACTCACGATCTGCAGCTTGATGGTCTTCCCGTCCAGCTCGATGGTCCTGATCTTGAAGTCGACCCCGATGGTGCTGATGTAGCTCTCCGTGTACGTGTCGTCCTGTTTGAAATGGGACAGGCCGGGGGGTCAGTCGAAACGGCGCCGCCTGGGTCGACCCCCCAGTGTCCGAAACAGGCACGGGGGACTGGGGGCGGCTCTGAGCCTTGAGGTGGTCCCACCTCGGGTCTGAAGGCCTCCTACCCCCCCACCTCACAACCTTCATTAGTCTAAATCCCTGCCTGTCCCCCCAGCCTGGTTACACTGCACATCTAAATCCACACTGACCCACATCTACACGCCATGGGCGACAGGTCTGGCTCGAAACTCACATCAGCAGGATTCTCCTGCTGTGTCCCTACTCTCCGGAATTCTATCCTCAAGATCCTCAAGGATATCAGAGTCCCCCTCCCTGAGCGCCTTCAAATCCTCAGACTCAAAACCTTCTTCTTCAGAAGGGCTTTTGTTGAACTGGTTCTGCGTCTGCCCCCTTTGCTTGCATCACACACCCGGATCACAATATTATTACTGTCTCCTCTCGTCATGTGCTTTTTCCCCCTCTTACAATAAAGCCCCCTGCTGGCCCCACTGACACCTCTTCCAGCAGCAGCCTGAGCTTTCCCAGGAGTCTCCCCTCCAGGTGCTGGCTAGGCTCACCCTGCTGAGCTCCAATGGGCTGCTGGGGGTGAGCTGCAGCTGCAGCACAGGTGATACAGCTGCTGGTGGCACAGGTTGATTAACAAGCAGCTCCGTGGGAGAAATCTCCACCCCCCTTACTGTCCTTAGAACCAGCAGCCATTTCACTCTGCAACTCCCAGCTGGCAGCCCCACTGGAGCTCTTGCAGGTGTGAGCCTGATAAGTACCTGGAGGGGAGACTCTTGGGAAAAACTAAGGCTGCTGCTGGAAGAGGTGTGAGTGGGGCCAGCAGGGCGGTCTGTGTGGGTCCTGATGCCCCAGTATAGTGACGGGGACACTAGACTGTAAACAGGCGCCGGATGAGACGTAAAACCGAGGTCCTGACTCTCTGTGGTCGTTAAAAATCCCAGGGCGCTTCTCGAGAAGAGTAGGGGTGTAACCCTGGCGTCCTGGACAGATTTCCCATTGGCCTCCCAATAACCCCCCTCTCTGAACTGGCTCCGTCACTCTGCTCTCCTCCCCACTGAGAGCTGGGGTGTGGGGAGCGGACTGGAGTGTCATCCAGGTGGGGGTACACACTGCTGGGGGTGGAGGGGATCCCCGTGACCTGGAAAGAGCTCTGAGTGGAGTGTCCAGAAAAGCGCTATATAAGTGTTAGCAATTATTATTATTATTCCAAGCAGGGATCGGAGGCCGCAGGAAGGCACCCGTTGGGAAAGAGGGCCAGGACCGATTCCGGGGGCTCGGAACGGGAGAGCTTACCGCGAACCGCAGCAGGAGGCAGGACTTGCCCACTCCAGAGTCGCCGATCAGGAGCAGCTTGAACAGGTAGTCACTGCAAGACAGGGGACACACAGGAGGCTGAGACGGGGCGGGACGGGCGGTGTGGACGCAGGCGGCCGGCGCCACCCGGCCCACCCGGGCCCGCCCGCCGCGCTCGCTGGGCCGGGGAAGTGAGGAGGCCCCTGGGGGGGGGGTTAAGGTTGGGAGGTTGGCATGGCAACCAGGGGACCCATCTGGCTCTGTAGGACCAGGAGGGAGTCCAGATCTTACAGTCTCCGGTCCAGATTCCAGGAGTGGACAGGAATGGGGAGTGAGACACATGCGCATCAGTAAAATGCATCCCCCCCGCCCCCCCCCACTCTCACTTCCTGCCACAGAAATCCGTTGAGAAGTAGGGTCCGGGGCTGGGAATCTGGGAATCTCCCCTTGAAGACGAGCCGTGTGCTTTCACTCGCCTTCTGACAGGACAGGCAGAGACATCCGGGGGACTGAGCAGGTTTTTTTTTGTTGTTGTTTATGTGTGTGTGTGGATATATATATATATCTATGGAGGAAAAGATCTCTTTCACACTTCGATGCAAGTCGCTCGTCTTAAAAAAAACTCCCAGGAGGGAGGTGAGCGGCAGACCGCACAGACAGGACAGACCGGACCGGTTTCGGTTTGGGTCAATCACTCGAGCCCAGCCTTCACCGAAGGGATGGGGGATTAAAAACGAACAGCGACACACACACACACACACGAGAGAGAGAGAGAGCTTCAGATCTTCCCAAGACCAAAACAACGCCTCGCCGGCGAAGGCGAGACCGGGCCGTGCCCAGCCGGGCCGGCGCAGCGAGGGTCCTGCCCAGGCCGGGCCCGGAAACGCGACCCACGGGGGCTCTCCGCCCACCGAGCCGGTCTGGTCCCGGCGGACGGGGGAGGGGAGCGGCGGCCCGGTACCGCAGCGGAGAGACCGGTGTCCGGGGAGGGACGGGTTACTCACTATTCGGGATTCATGGCGCTTCGGGCACGGTCGGTCTCCGGTCTCTCCTGCGGGCTGTCTGCGCTTCGGCTCCGTCCGGTCTCGTCTGTTTCAATAAAAGACGTCGGACCGTGTCGACACACCGCTCTCCCCGCGTCGGAGCTTTCAGTATTACCGCTGATGTCGGGTTCTTTGTAGATGACTCCCCGCCGACACCCTCTTTTTTTAAATCCCCTCCTTCTCTTTTTTTATTTTTTCCTTGAAAAAAAAAAATTCCTTCTTCTCCGGTCGCCTCGTCTGACTCCCTTTTTTTTTTTTTTCCACCGAAATCCAAGATGGCTGCGCAGGTGCGGCAGTGACGTCAGAAGACGTGGCGTTCGAAGCTCCGAGACGCCCGGAAGCCCGGCGCGCAGGCGCCTGCCTCTCACCGGGGTCCTACCCGGGGGGGGGGCACGACGGGAAATGTAGTTTTCTGCAGGCGATGAGGGGCTCACAGTTGAAAACGTGTAAGGGGTTCGATGACGTCTGGCTGCCTAGCGAGATTGACAGATCTAATCCCAGAGTTCCCACACCTGCCAGAAACACAACAACTCCCAATCCTACTGGGAGAGGGAGGAGGGAACTCAGTTGAACTGGCAGCCTAGTATGTGATCTTCTGTCCCAGCCTGAGGAACAATGAGCCTGTCTCCCAACAATGCCCCAAATGTATATATGTAAGAGAGAAGATAAGATAAATATCTTATCATGTGTCTGTATTGTAAACGTCGGTAGCTTTTTTTATGTTAATTGTATTTGCTCTGCTTTGCAAGCACTAATTTTACTCATTGCTCAGGCCAGTAAAGCACCTTGAATTGAACTGGAATTCACGCAGACGTGCGGAGAAGGGGTCCCTTTAACACGCTCTGTACTACGCATGGAAACTTCAGCTCCGCAGATTGATTACAGTGAGAAATTGTCCTCAATCGTGACTGTCCGAAGCTCGTCCCGGCAGCGATATAAAGGCGCAGAGCGATACTCTCCCCGCGAGCGTCCACTGCGGGGACTTGGTCATCTGTATAACATGTCCTGTACGAGAACTCAAAGCACAGCATGATGCTGTTTCAAAGACATTTTATTGTATGTCTTTGTTGTAAATGTCTGTAATATGGTTGTAGATTTTTATTTTACTTTTATTTTCTGTTTTGTTTCATGTGCATTTCATTATTTTTATTTGCTGTGGCAACACTGATGGTACCCCATCGGTCATGCTAATACAGCACCTTGAATTGGAAATTGAATTGAAGTGCATGATGACGTAGGGAAGTACCAGGGCGCAGGTGCTCCTTATGGCCACTAGAGGGCGGGACGAGACCGCTGTATTTCCAGATACTCCGGCGAGAAACTCGTGTAGCGAAACAGCAAAAAAAAAAAGATCATATTTAATTAATAATAATTATAATTATTTCTAACACTTATATAGCGCTTTTCCAGACACTCCACTCAAAGCGCTTTACAGGTAATGGGGACTCCCCTCCACCCCCACCAGTGTGTACCCCCACCTGGATGACGCTCCAGTCCGCTCCCCACACCCCAGCTCTCAGTGGGGAGGAGAGCAGAGTGATGGAGCCAGTTCAGAGAGGGGGGTTATTAGGAGGCCATGATGGGTAAGGGCCAATGGGAAATTTGGCCAGGAAACCGGGGTTACACCCCTACTGTTTTATTTGTAGGAAGAATCAGAAGGGTTAGCCCTATCTTTCTGTAGAGCCACATGTGTTGTTTCAACACGCTGCTGTCTCAGACGACCAGAAACAGACCCCAAAGACGTTTTCTTTTCATTTAATTTTAATTTTCACTGTTCATTTTATTATGAAAGGCCGACATCTTGTTCACAAAATGTACAGGTATGTCAGAGGACTGGCTGCATACGGTATACGTTAAACTTTAAATACAATTTAATTACAAAATAATGAGTAAAGGTTAATAAAGGACCACACATCTGAACCTCAGAGGTCTAAAATGAACCACTTCCAGTCACTGGCTTAGGTACAAAAAACATCTGGCAAAGGTGAGCGTCGATATTAGGCAACTTATTGATCGGGGAGCTGGGTGATCAGTCTGGAGTTGATCTAGAGGTGGTGTAATTCACTACGGTAAAAAACGAGCTGCCGGAGGAGAGGGCACAAGTGGAAGTGCTTCTTTACGCTGAGGGTGGTGGGAGTGTGGAACGAGCTGCCCAGCCACATTGCCGATGACGATACCCCGGTTTCTTTCAGGAAACAGACGGGCGAGGTTGTCCCATCAGGACATGAGGCACTGGTTTTACAGGAAGAGAGGTGGGAGTGTGGAACACATCCCCCAGCTGGGCTTTCAAGATCCCAGCTGGATGAGACCCTGCGATCAATTGGCTTCAAGCTGTCATTGTTGGGGTGCAGCACGACGATGGGGTTCCTTCTGGAGATCGGCAGCTCTTCACCACTTCTTGTTATTTCTCTCCTTCCTGTTCGAAAACAGGGAAACCATAGCACCCACCGCACCCAGGACCACTGTGGCCGTGACAACGGCCGTCACTGTGTCTTGAACCTGGAGACAGACAGACAATAATAATCAACAGGAGTCTGATTATAATGCCAGTGAAAAACTAATCCAGCTCCCAGTCCAGCCAGTCCAGTCCAGCCTGCAGTGTCTCAGACTGCTCTGTCAGTGTCAGTGGAGTCTGATTATAA